TGTGTGTGTGTGTGTGTAAAACCAATACATGTAAATGTTACAGGGCAAGCAGGGGGGCATTCAAGGCTGCTAGTCGACTTTGAACTGGCATTGGTTTTGTTTGTGAATCCAGTACGCATTTCCTCTTTCAAATTTATAACTAAATTACAATTCACTTGAAAAGAATATTATACGCATCATACTTCTGTTAGGAAAAAGTCAGGACACGTGCTACACTACAGGACCACTTCTTGCAGTCAAATCAAATACAGTTTGTTACAGAGAAACGCCAGGGGAAAAACTCACATCTCAATACAAAGGCTTGAGAATTTATTTAAACTATTTTATTAACAGCCAATAACCCGCACAAAGCCAGACGGTGAATGAAAATACGAGGGTTTAGCAAGGGGAGCACTGGTGTATATTTAGAAAGAGCACAGAGAGTGCAAGATTTAACTTACTTTTTAGTCACGCTTTGACTTTTGAGGCTTTTTACCTGCCTGACAAGATAAATCAGTCACTCTCTCAAATATTTACAAGTGCATTCAAATCTATTTTTTGCACAGAGCCTGAAAGAACAGAAGAGCTTCGTGTTGGATGTTAAGTAGAAAGGCTTCGAGAGTGTGTTTGTTTTAACTGCATCCTGTGACAACCTCACAAGACAGAACAAGCACTCAATCTGCTCGTGTTCTTTCTTTGTAACCAAAGTCAAAGTGGAGTATGCACGCATATGAATATCCTGAGTTTCTAAGACAACCTCACCTATTTTCATCCTCATCAGACCCTTCAATCACTGTCAATCGCTCCTCACTGTAGCCTAGTAACTGCCCTGACCCAGATTTACCGTTGCCTTCACCCTTCAGAAACACTTGTGAGCTATAAATCTGTCCAAGGACTCTCTCTCTCTCTATGTCGTCTGTCATATTGTTCTTTACATGTGTTTGTTTTTTCGTTGTTGTCCGTCCGGATGCATGTGAACATAAGGGGGTTACGGTCAGCCAATAGATGGCTCCTCTGTGCTCCTTAGAACTTCAAAAGACTCTGTCTTCAGGTAACTATGGTTACCTTTATAGCTGCACCGTTGTTTGGGGGTGTGTATTTTGATTGCCTGCTGTCACGTCTGATTTGACGCACAGCGAGGGAGACCATTACAGGACTACAGAAGGGGATGTGGAAGAAAAGTCACAGAGCTGCACAACCTTGCAGGGGATTAATGTTCCCAACTGGCAACCAGGCAGGAGGCTACAAAGGAGGGATGAAAGAAAAAAGTTTCCCTCTTGGCATTAAAACAGCTGGAAACGTCCCTAATACGTCCACACATGAACCAGAGAAGAGCAGAATATTGCCCTTGCCTGGCAGCAAAACTCCTGCCTGAAGCCAGCTCGACAAAGTCAGTGGAGCGTGGACTAAGGCTGGAGATATACTTGCTTTTAAAGACGCGTTCGCATGATGGCCGCCTCGTGTATCCTGCGTCCCATTGGAGCCTCAGTAATGAATGCGGAAGAGTGGTTAAAAAGCAAGCATATCTCCAGCTTAACACTGCCATTTAACTCATAACGTCAACATGAAAGCAGGAAGTGAGAAAATTCGAGAAAACGTGAGCAGCTGGTTAGCTTAGCTTAGCATACAGACTGTAAACAGGGGGCAAAAGCTAGCCTGGCTCTATGCAAAGGTAACAAAATCTGCTAACTTATTTAATATTTTTAATATATTTGTTTAATCTGCACCCAAAAAAACAAAGCTTTAGGAGTGGTTTTTTTTTAAACTTTTGGATAAAGCCTGGTTAGATGTGCCCCCCCCCCATTTACAGTCTTTATACTAACCTAATCGCCTTGTGTGCTGGTAGTTAGCTCTGTCTGCACAAGAAATAGTCGTTTTTACACTGTACATTTATACAGATTGTACATCACGGACAGATATGAGAATAGTATTAATTCCCGCATGAAATTCTCTGCAAGAAAGCAAATATGCAACAATATATTCCAGTAACTATTGCTCTAAAAGAGGTGGAAATACTGTACGCGCCAGCATTGTGGTGCAATTGTGACTGTCAATACCACAGATGTGGAGAGAAACTTAAGTGAAAGGACGTATTGAGATGTGAAATCTTCAGCACCATTTAATGGATGCTTTCCAAGCGAAGCACAGAAATGCAGAAAATAAAGACTAAAGACTCAAGAGATATTTTATGGATATTGACAATATCAATCCATCACAGCAGTTCCTACCTTGCTCATGTGAAACTCCAGACGCCTCATGTATCTCTCAATAGTTTTGATTTGCTGCAGGAAGACAGAGACAACACAATGATTTACTGTATATTACATATATGTGGTTGAAAGCTGTAAACATAGTGATTTGTATGTCTATACTACAGGATATAATGAGGCACAGTTTTCAAACCTGAGCTTACAAAAAAGTGACATTTGTGATCATGAATGACCAATTATTCAGCTCTCGGTTGCATATTGTTTTGAATACTGTATATGTCACAAGTTGGCAAAATGTTTAGCTAAATGGTATATGTTGTCTTTATATGGAAATATCTCACAGCTTATCCCTCTCAAGCTGTCATCTCCTGTCCAATCACACATTTCTCATCTTCATCCTTTTTCCTGCATTATTCCTACACTCATTTCTCCCTCCATTTTTCTGCCTTTAACTGTTTTTCCCTCCAAGTCTTGTTTTTTTTTTTTTTTTTTTACATCAAAGACACATCAAACTCGGAGCGGTTGTTACAGTAGACCCTCCCCTCCATCAGCTCACCTTGTCAAGATCGTATAGCACTCCCTGGAGAGAGAAAACACACACGCAATCACACAGTTAGTACAGAAAGACAGTACAGCTGAGTCTGCTTAAGTAATGCAAAGCAGACTGTAGTTGTGGCATCAAAAGGAAGATCCTATTATACGCCTCTTTCAGTAGCAGCCTCAACTCTGCATATAGTAAGTGTGTGTGTGACTGTGTGTATTGTCACAAATCAAAATGTGTTTGCCGTGTGGGAATTTGTGACGATAAAGTTGATGTATTATTATTGTGTGTGACGTATTATCAATAAAATTAAAAATTAAACATATGTGCAAACTTTCGCTCTTGCTGCTTTCATACACAGATATTTGTGAGACATAAGCAACAGTGTATATTTCTTCAAAATAATAGTCTCATTTTGGGAAATACACTTATTTGCTTTCTTGCAAAATTAGAAGATCTATTCTACTTTCATGCATGTACACTAAATATTTAACTGGAGTCAGCAGAAGGTTAGCTTAGTGATTAGCATAGCATCCATTATAGCAAACAGGGGGAAACAGCTTGGCTCTGGTAATAAAACAAGGTAATAAAATCTTTAGAGGTGCTGGTATGCAGATACCTCGTACCTTTGGACAGAGTCAGGCCAGTTATTTCCCCTTGTTTCCAATATTTATGATAATCCAAGCTAACGGTCTCCTGGTTGTAAATCAATATTTACAGTACAGACACAAGAGAGGTATCAAACTTCTTATCTCAGTCTTGGAAAGAAAGCAAGTAAGTGTACATCCTAAAATGTAAAACTATTCCTTTGTTAGATGTGGGTAAGACAGGCCGCAGGGCTAAACTGATGTGCAGCCTCTCACCAGGCGAGAGTTCCTCTTCATGTCCTTCATCAGAGACATGAGTTTGTCCAGCTCTGTTTGATGAACTTCAAGATACTCACTACAGGACAAAAAAGGAAGAAAAAAACAATCAGGGTTTAATACAAATTTTAAAAGATTCAAAGGGACATTAAGACATCCCTGCAGCAAGACGTTTGTCATTGCTTGACAGAGTGAAGTGTGTGTACACAGTAAGTGTACATCAGTGTATGGGTTACTCACTCCAGGCCTTGTTTGAGTGCAGTGTAAACCTCCTCCAGTCTTTTGGGCTGCGGCTCTCTGGAGCTGCTGCCTCCCTTGTGTCCTGACAGGTGGGGCTTCTTTGGCTTGGACTGAGGCTTCTTCTGTACCGCCGAGTTCCCCATGAAGGAGTTACACCTACACACACACAGACACACACATTAGTGAGTACAATAGAGGGTCTCGTGTAAGCGGATTGTCTGAAAATGTTCATCACACTGCACAAACACATTGAGATTGCTTTTCATAACAACAGCAGGATATAGGAATACAATCCTCATCTACTGAGAACTAAAAAAGTTTAATTCAGTCAAATCTGAACACACAAACATGATACATATTTTTAGATTCAGTGTGACTTGTACTTCTCAGTCTCCATCACAAATTAACATCCACAGATCCGCTTAGAAATCACAGAAAACAGGACGCTCCTTATAACTGAAGAACTTGTTTTTAAGATTTTCTCAGGCTCATAGTGATTCAGTGATAGTTGTCTGTACAACCATAAGTAAACTGAAAAAAGGAACTGCTAATAGCTAATTGTAGCTAATTCAGCATACTTTCAATGGGTGCCAAAAAATACAGGCAAATACAAAAGGGGTTCATGTTGGAGCCCACAACTAACTAACTGACTCCATGGCAACATTACACTTCCTGTTTCCATCCCCCAAAGCCTCTAAAATGATGTAAAACTGTAGCTCCAAAGCTCAGAGCATGATTATACCCCAAATCAAATTGGGATTTGGGGTCTTTAAGTCTCAATTGTGTTTGGGGGGGGGGGCAGACTTTAAAAATCCCATATTTTATTATTTTACAGCAACCTGCCCAACAAGCCCTTGGGCCAGTCTCAGCATGAGTTCATCTCATTTGTCGGATGGTGAGGACTCGTCGTGTCTGTTCACACCAAGATAACTCAGTCACACAGGACTGAGACATTTAAACTACATATTATCCACGTACCGTCAGCTAAAACCTGTCAAGCATGCACACACACAGAAACTAACAGCATAACTTCAGCAGTGAACCTCTTCATCAATCACAGGGATGTGCTAAATCACAAGTACGCACACATATCTGAGAACACATGCAAACATGTGCTTCCCACCCCCCAGTTTCTGTGTTTGACCTGAGTAAGGCTGCCATTTATCTTCTGCTGGAGTGAACTTACAAACACACACACTGAGGCACAAACACACTCCTGGCAATCAATGACATTCAAGTGTTCTTCACCCTCTTCCCCACAGTCCTCCAGCAGTTGAACAACAACAATGTGACTGACTCAAGGGGGGGGATGTGGATAGAGTTAAACAGAGCTCATTAGTGGATATATTTGTATGAAAGTCAGTGACACAGGCTCCTTTAAATGGTATCATATGTGTACAAAAAGGGTACGGCTGAAACTAACAATTATTTTCATTATAAATATATCTTCTGATTATTTTTTAGATTCATTAATTCATTGTTTGGACTAGAAAACATCAGAAAACATGATCATATGTCTTATTTTATCATTATTTAGCAGCAAATTCACCCATTTGAGAACCTGAAACCATCAAATATAAATGGTATTTCTGGTTGAAAAAGGACCGTAACAATTAATCTATTATCAAATTTGTTTATTTTTAGATTGATTAAGTTTCTGTTGACCAGCTAATTGATAAACTGACTAATTGTTACAGCTCTACAAATGTGGAAACCATGTACCCACACACTGATCATTTCTCAATATCCTGATGTCTGAAGTCTGAACAGGACTGCAACTAACGATTATATTCAATATCGATTGATCTGTCAATTATTTTCAGATTGAATGATCAGTCAGAAAAAAAATACAATCACAACAAGGTAAAATCTTTTAACAGCTTGTCTTGTCTCAACAGTGCAAAACTCAAAAACTATTTAATTTATTATCAAATTAAACAGAGAAAAACAGCATCTTAATATTTAGGAAGCATTTTTACCTGATACATTAATAAAAACGATTCATAGATCATCAAACTTGTTGATTGAGAACTTCATTAATGGTTTCAGCACCACATCTAAGCTTAGTATCTATGTTAAAATAAAATAAAAATCTAATTTTTCTCCACAGTATAGCCACATCACAAGCCTGTCTCTCCTCACATCAATCCATTTTAGGTCACGCTCATCTTACCCGCTCAGCTTTTAAAACCCTTACAGATTTAGCTGACAAATGACATTTCCCCAAGACTTAACGAAACGATCCCAGAGTCATCTCAGGGACATTGCGATAACCAATTCTAGTGCTCGACAAGTTGGAATGTGCCACGTCTTCCTGCGTGCGGGGGAACACAGCATAAAATAAGCTAATCTGCCATAAATGTAGGGCAGCCCTGAATGAGAGCGCTACGTAGCCTTGGGGTCACGCAAGCTGTAGTGTAGAAGGTTCTCTTGGCAGAGAAACACACATATACATAGATGCTAACTCAATTCCACACTGACTGGGAATTTGCACCCTTATACACAAGTCTGCAGTATGCATGCATGTGTAAATGCAAACAAAACATGCACATGGGTACACACATGGTGCTTGCTCGATAACACACACAGACGCTAACGCAATCCAGTGGCCTCAGAAGCCACATCTCTGTAGCTTTCCACCTCGCTCATTATCAGAATGGTAACTTGTCAGTCGCTGTCAGTCGCCCACACACCCGAGTCATTCCAACCAATTACCCCATTCACTGTCTGAGCAGAGAGAAAAGAGGAGGGAACAACATCTTCAAATAGGTTCTCTCAGCAGGACCAGGGCTGCTGAGGAGGACCAGGCGTCAACATCTAAAAGTCTGAGATCGTAAAGAGATATTTCTGGGATGTGAGAGGGCTTCGTCTTGTGATGATGGAGTGAGAGCCTTCACGGATGAGTCAACGAGGGAGGAACACAGATAATTTTGAGAAAAACTCATCAATCTCTAACTTCTCGACTTCTGGCTATGAATGAAACAAGTATCAGAAAACTGAGTTAGCTGTTGGGTTATACAACAGCGTGCTGATCACTCCTTAAGAATTTGGCTCCTCTCTGGGATCTTGAGACTTGCTGTGGCTCGCTGAATATCATGAAGGTTGGCACCAGATTTCAGAGTCAGTAAATTCCTTATTTCTGTGTAAGTGATGTTTTATATCTAGGTCCGGTGACAGTGATGGATTTCTGATTTCTAAAAACCAAAGTGGTAAGAAAATAACACTAAACCAGTGCAATACCCCTTTAAGGATGCTATAATGATAAAAACCACTCTTAAATTCCTGAACTAATGTTAACTATTAATTTGATGGCCATCATTAAATGTTGACATACTAGTAAAATAGTTACTGTGAAAGAGCTTTACCTCCAAATCAATACTGTTTCTGAGGACACTTTAAAGTTGGCGGTGGAAGATCAGTTTTGCGATACATTTGTTCCATCATGTATCGACCTCAATTGTCATTTCAGGAATGAGTAACATCAGCTGACCATACATTAACAGTTTTAAAGATTTGTGCTCACCGAGAGCGTCGCTCCTGTAGTGTGCTGAAGCCGGCGAAGGACTGGCTCCGTATTATACCGTTGGGGCCTCCGGGGGAGTGGGTGCCGGCCGCCATGATCTCCGGGACACGAGATGACACACCTGGAAAAAAAGACATACAAATAGATTACATACAAATCCACTGATAATATTTGGACGCCAAGTATATCAGGGTTCAGTAATACATCACAGATGCAATGAAAACATGTTTTGACCTAAATTAACACCCAAACCACGGCAACAGAAAGGTTAACTAGAGTCCATAGAGCATTGTATAACAATACAGTCACTGTTGGTGAAGCTTGCCACGTGCAATGTGGATGAGCAGCATTCGGAGCCTGCGTTAACATGTCTCGACTCCTCTGGCCTACCTGTCACTATGAAACTGCAAACATACCTCAACTGTTACTGTTTCATGTTTTCCTTCCTCAGGCAGGTGTCACAAAACATGACTCTTGTCACTTTCCTTTAAGTGTGGTGTGCACTTGCATACTTCCTACCTAAACTAAAGGTTAGACTCTAAAAATGCAATTTATCAGACTGACAGCTGTTTAAAAGCCACAGATGAGGTACAAGCAGAAGCTACAACATACTTGAGGATTTGACCACAGATCTGCTTTAAAGGCCACGTTTGCCTTCTCGATATCTAATTTATGTGTAATACATTCCAAGAAAACCAATCCAGACCATCCACTGGCTGAGTTATCTAATCAGCTTCTCCTATTAGTTAAGACATCTTTTTATCAGTGTGTGTATATTTAGCAGCAGCAGCAGCCTGTCAGATTTGAGACCTTCAGACCTTTTTTGAAGCTGGAGATGTGGAATGACTCACGTGGGCACTTAGGGAACAAGCTGAAAATAGGCAGAGAAATGTTCACGTATAGCTGTCGGATAATGATGTAGCAGAGATGAAGTGCCCAGAGGGATCTCTGAATCACAGCTTCAACTAGCATGATTTTGTACAGATTGTGGTGCTAATGGCAGAGGGTTGGCATTTAAACTTAAAGTGTGAATCTTTAAAACTGCTTAATGACAGACAGCAGGGATGCACCACTATGCTGCAGTACTGGCGCCAATACTGATATACAGTTCAAATACAGTTATAAAGCAGATCAGGTATTGCACAGACATGACCTAACAACACTACAGGGGGTTATTTTCATCAACATTACATTCACTGAGTCACGACGGGCTGCCAACTCTGCCTTTAGTGCCATAGCAATCTCTAGCCTCTTGTCAACTTAAATAAAAAAGATTGAGTTCCATGCAGTGAGGTACAGACATTCCCAAAAGTTACTGCAAAATAAACAAAAGTCTGATCGGTGCGGCTCTAAATCAAAATATTTTCCTCATTTCTCCACAGTTCTTGTTAAGTTTTGTTCTTTAACCACTAAGAGAAATTAAAATAATATCAATACTGTAGAACTCCATGAAGTGAAATCCTCATTTTGGTAACAACCCCCACTCCACGTGCAGCTCCGAGGTTCAGTGTCAGCTGCTGAACAGCTGGAGAAGATACACTTCAGCAAGGTGCACATATGCCAATATGAGGGCTTGAATCTGGTCCGCACCAACACTCAACAAACGCTTACACAAAGTCCTAACTCCATACTATAAACTTAATGTATAGTTTGTGCGTTGTTATAATGGTATACATAAAGATTGTATGTAAAAGGGAAACACAGCTTTAGTCTACTGCCACACTTTTACACATAATACGTGCACACCAAATCCACCAAAACTACCCAACCCAAATACATATAAGTTAAATACACAGATGGAAATCCTGAGAAACTCAACATACTGACCTCAATGTTAATGTAAATACTGAAGTGAGGAAGTAGGAGACTAATTTCTGTCTTTTTAATTTGTATCACCTCCTAACTGAGCTGGAGGAAAACTATGGTGAACACAGAAAAGGCCAGCAGGAGAGAGACATATTTGTCAAATCAAATTAAACTCCACTAACAAGCAGAGGAATCAGCCTGTGAAGCCGCAGTATTCAGTGTCTGCTCCTCTTCCTTACACAAACGACATAAACCGTCCCGCAGCGTTACCAGTTAAACAACTTTGGCAAACGAAGTGACGAGCAAAACATAGTTGGTTTTTTTTCTAGCGGTGCATGTCACTCTGTTTGTGGGTTAGGGTTTTTTTTTTTTCACTGATCCATCTGTCTTTCTGTCTCCAGAGGACAGGCTACTTCTGTATGGCTTGTTTTGTCATCACTCACACACACACACACACCTCAGTGCTACAAGTGATTGAGCAACCTGATAGCCCCTCCTTTGACCTGTGTGACAGACAGCCTCACAAAGACCCGGCACGGGGCTCGAGGAAAGACTAGAGCCTTGTTATGTGTTGGGGGGGACAATAGGCTGGTGAGACTGATACTGTTCAGGCTATTAATAGCCGCTAGCTCACTTGAGGACTCTGATGGCTGTGACTCAGTAAATGAATCATCGGGACCACTGGCTGGATGGATGGCTTGGAACAGCATGGCCTGGTTCGATTGGTTGGATGCAGCCAAAAATATACCCTTGTTTGGTTCTACAGGCTGGTATTATGCCCATTAAATTATATACAAGATTCTTTGGATTTAGTTTCTGAATTGAAAGCTAACCACAGCTAGCGCCAGGCAATATGTTAAAAACAATATCACAATTGTATCACAGCTGCAGAAGCTGCACCGTAGCACGGCTAGCTATGGACTAATAGTGCATGGTTTTTAGTCACAACTTGCTCAGAATTGTTCATTTGGACTACAGGAAATTTAAATTTATATGATCATATTACAATGATATTATTCTTTAATCAGTAATATCATTATCCCCGAACCACAGTTAGCAGCATTTTGCCCTAATGCTCTGAAGTATTTTGGTTCTCAACAGCAGTTTTCTGCCGTTCCATGTTTGTCTCTCTGACTTTCTGACTCACTCTCCTAAAAGAAGAGCAGTGGGTGGCGGGTGATGGTACATTTTGTTACCGAATGCTCTCTGGGTAATCACAGAACAAGCTGGGCACTGTTCCCTGCACTTCAGCCTTTTCCCGAACATTTCCTGCAGCTTTAGACGAAGCAAAATGATGAAGGTTGAGAAGATGTGGACACTTGAAAACTAAAACACAATGACACCAGATGGTATGAGCTGTTCAGTTTCAAGTCTCTTCGATACCCTGACGTTCCCAAATAGTACAAGCAGGTAGTTCTTGTTTGTGATGAGGACCCGAGGGACTAACACAGAGCAGACTTAGTGTCATCAGAGAATACAAGTAGAAATAAAAGGACTGACACTAATTAAACTGGAAAATAGCCTCATATTTACTTCAGAGTTACAGTATACTCACAAAAGTATCATACTGCCTGTATGAAACTAACTCAGTGATTGTCCTACATTCATTTATCAGGGACTCACCCACCCACTGCTGGATAAATGTGGCATATTATAAAAAGATAATTATCTCACCTCTTTTCTCCATCAGTAATGAAGCCAAAACCTGTGTTTTAACATCAGCTGATCATTTTAGTCTGATGATTAATTAAATTTTACAAGAAAAAATTTCAAACATTCTCTGTTTCTAGGTTCAAATGTGAGGATTAGCTGCTTTTCGTCGTCATATATGATAGTAAACTGAATATATTTGGGTTTTAGACAGGTCAGTATATTTTCTGACATTTTATAGACAAAAATATGAATCAGCTAATAATTGTTGGTTGCAGCTCTACATTAAATATATATATTCCATTAGTGATTTTTAAAAAATATTATGGGTTTAAGAGTAAATTTGTCAAGTCATATAGCCCATTTTTACTCTATTGATGTGTTTTTGCAGAAAATATTGTGTCATGAGTGGTATTGCTGAATGTTCACACTCCGGGCTTCTGGATTTTTCCGAAACCTTTCCCAGCCTCAGCAAGCTCCAACAAAACAAACTCATTTGAATCAATGTTCCCCACATATAAAAGACACACACACACACTCTTTCACAAAGAGCTGAGTTCAACCACTGAATCATAAAACCTTTCCTCTGCACCTCTTAGTGTCACCGCTCATCTCGTCTAAAGAGGCTTTCAGGACGGAACAACAATGCCAACTCGCAGTGTGTTCTGGTTTGGTGCCAGCCGTTACCCCTGTTGAATACAGCTGCCAGTCAGTCCATTCACTGGTCTTTCTTCTCTGGCGCTCTCACGCTAACAGCCGTAAATGCCCTCGACGAGGTGTATGAGTGTGTTTCTTTGTGGAATATATGAGCATTAGATTGATCAGTATGCTGAGCTGAGGCTTGGACACAGACACACACAGACAGGACGGACAAGCCACACCAGACAGACACACCACAGAACAGACCACACACAACACACACACACACACAGTGAAAGGGGACTGGCATGAGAGAGCAGGACACCTGATGTAATCTCAATTTGTTGTTAGCTCTCCAAGGTCCATGTGCATTAATGCATTAGTCCCAGCGCTGAGTGTGTGTGTGTGTGTGTGTGTGTGTGTGTGTGTGAGAGAGCTGTGGGAGAAAAGACTGGATAAGTGAATGAGAGAGTGTGTCTTAAGGTAAGACAGGTTGAAGGAAAGGAAGAAGGAAAGGAGGGATCTAGCCATTGTTCTTGGCTGAAAGAGACCAACACCAACCGGACGAGCAGGCTAGGAAGACAGAAACCTCTCGACGGACGGCTACGATCTGCAAGGTGAGGGTCATGTGACTGACGGGGGTAGTCAGGCTAACACTACAGCTTGCAGGTTAATCAACTTGCAAGTTTACTGTTACTTGTTTTACATTTCTCCAGCAGGCATTGTGAACAGAGCAGGAGGAAGTCTTTTGCTGGCTGACAGCTGCATATTAAACATTTGGAACTGTAATACAGAAATTGGAAAGCAACTTTGGAAGGATCCTTAAATGTAGTGTCCTCTGAAGACAGTGGACACAGAGCAGCACCAACACAGAACTTCACACTTTCTTTGGGGGTTTGTTTTCAGGTGACTCAGACATTTGAATAGATTTTTCATTTCTCCCACGAGGTCACCTCCCGTCTTCTCTGAAATGGCAGCCTGACTCACTTTCTTCTTCATTTATTTCTGTTGTTGTTTTTTTCTGTT